GGGAAAAGAAGTTTTTACACTTGCTTTAGGTGGTTTTTCAAAGTTAATACGCTTCATAGGGGACAGAAACATGCTTTCTGATTAAGTACTTGTGTAGTTAACGCGTAACTCACATGACTCTGGCTCTTTGTCTTTGCCTCTGGACAGCGTGAAACATGACCAGAATCAGCTGACATGAAGCAACAATTACAACAACAAAATTCTTGATGACTTAGGTGGCCAAAGTCTAATTTTTTCAAGCAAAAAAAAAGATTGAATTCCTGGCCTCTTCTTCTAGCCATGTGTAATGTAGACTGTACTCAAACCTTCTGATGACACTACAGAGCCTAATTTGTTCACTCCCATAGCCTGTGTCTAAAAAATGGCAGCAGCCGTCAGGTGTATTCTTTCTACCAGCCAGCAGGGGACGACTTCTCTGGTTGCAAAAAGAAGTCAGATTGTATAGAAGTCTATGAGTAAATGAGCTTATTTCTCAGTTGATTTGTTACCTCACTAAAATTTTTCCTACTGAGTCTATGGTCTCAATCTTTAGTTTCAAGACTTGTTGAACACAACATAATGTTCGTTTTGTAAAACATGGTCCCATTTAGAGTAAAATAGATGGGATTGACAGGTTGGTACTGTATCACTGTGCGTAGTGTCCCTGAGTTCTTAGTCAGATCCACCTCTGCTCATTATGTTTAGTTTCAAAAGAACAGTAAGGCAACAGCCAAAATTCAAACTTCACAAATGCCCACAAACTAATGAGTAACTTACTGGTGGCTACATCCATCTTATACACACCGTCTATGTTCGCTGTGCAGCCTTTCCAAAGTTTCCTTCAAACTCGTTTGGCAATTAAACTGTTGATGCGTCTGTAATAACAACCTGATAATATTGCTCACCGGGGCCATTTTTAAACAATACCTTTACCTTGTGCATGTTGCTGCTCATAATTACAGATTTTCTCTCAGGTAACATTTTGAATGCAGGATTTGTCATGCAGTGCACCGAATGCAGTGTTCTTACTTAAGCAAAAGATCTGAATATTTCTTCTGCTGCTAGACTGATGATCTGACTTACATACGACAAAAGGAAACCATCCTTCTAATCCCCTTGTTGCGTTCTTTTTCCACCTTTTATCTCACTTTCCTGGCTCCTCCCTCTGTCACCGCCCATCCCCTGCCTTTCTTCTGTCAGTCTCGTCAGACACCTGAAGGCGAGTTCCTGCCTCTGGACCAGTGCGAGTTGGACGTTGGTTTCGGGACGGGAGCAGACCAGCTCTTCCTGGTTTCACCGCTCACCATTTGCCATGAAATTAATCCCAAGAGCCCCTTTTTCGACCTCTCCCAGCGCTCTCTCATGAACGAGCAGTTTGAGATTGTCGTCATCCTCGAGGGCATCGTGGAGACTACAGGTGAGTAATCTCTCCCCATCATCCCCCTCAGCTCTTTGTATCTCTTCCCACTCTCGTTGCTTCTCTTCTTCACTCTCCCCACTCCCAATCTAAATGTAAATTCCAATATCAATATCAACCCACATAACACACCTGTCTAATAGATACTCGTAATCTCGACTGTGTGAAATCTTATTTTCACACCTTCCCAGTCCTGAATATTTGAAGAACTGGAGGGCTGGGGAGAAAAAAAAAAAGTGAGCGTAAGAACAACATATGAGAATGACATCCTGATTGAATTATGAGGGATATTTTATTACGGCAGAATCGGTTTATGCCCACTCCATGCATAATAAAAGCCTGTGGTCATAGATGCGTGTGTCACTTTGATGAATGAGGTGGGTTTTAGTAGAAGTTCCACTCCATTTTTCAGATGACAGCTGAGAGCAGGGAAAACTCGAAGCTGCCGCTGTAAACTTCGAGGCAGCCATGCTGGAGTAGCCTCAGCGACAACACCGCTCTCTCTGCTGCATATTTAACGGAACGTATCGGACTTCAGGGAAGAATCAAATAAATCCATCCCCCCTCTTTTCTTTCCAGCTCTGCCTCTATCCATCCCTCACAACCCTTCGTGTGCCGCCGCTGTAGGAGAAAGCAGAGAGCTGAATAGGCTTAAAGCAGGAGGGAGGATCAGCGGGGAAGCAGAGAGGCAGGCAGGCAACACGGTCTGTGCTCTGGTGATAATACCATTAAATCAGGGTGCAGCCAGAAGTTTAGTGTCGCAGTGCCAAGGAGGGAAGCCCTGCCGGTGTCACCTTCAATGGTCCACAATATCCTGTCAGCCTCACACTAACGCACAGCCCATTAAAGCAAACACATTAACGGCACATCCAGCTGCTGCTGACACAGCTGCTCAGCTTGTTGATTGTCTCCCCGTCTCATTTCAATTATTTTTCAACCAGACTTGACACATCACCACGCAGCGGCTCTAGTACTTGTCAGTTTTAGTTCATGTCTGAAAGGCATTGTTTTCGGTTTTCAATGCCGCGACGAAACTGCATGAAAAAAAAAACTGCAACAGATCATCAGTTTTTATCAAGTTTGAGTGTAACTTCTTTGTTGAGGAAAAGGCTGACAACTTCATGTCTAATCAGTTCCAAGCCATCATCCAATCACTTCAGCCCTTATTTGAAAAGTCCAGTTGGGACCACATGAGCATCTTTGGTCTTTGGATGGAGAAAACGATTTTCTCCACTAAACACCGAACGATTCTCATTTGATCCAAACTGGACTACGATCCAAACCTACTACGATCAAGTGTACATAGATTAATGCAAAAAAAAGAAGAAAAAAAAGGACGTCATCTATAGGGGTCCCACTATAGACCAAAGGAGATCTATCCATCCATTAGCTACAGCTGCTTTATCCTGTAGGGAGTCACGAAGGGCTGGAGTCTATCCCAACAGACTGACACCTACACCCAGTACCGTCTTTTATCTTCAACACTTCAACAAAACTACATAAGAACCAGCAGCAATTATCAGTTTATTGGCTTTAGATGTAACTTCTCTGTTGAGCAAAAGGCTGACAACTTCATGTCAAATCAATTCTAAGACACCATCCAATCACTTCAGCCCCCAGATGGAGAAAATTGATTTTCTCCATCCAAAAGTCATTCTCATGTGACATCCAAATAGACCCAAAACCTACGAGGACTAAATGCATATACATTTATGTTAAAAGAAAAAAGACTTGATCGATAAAGGTTCCAGTCTAGACTCAAGGACATCCATACATTCATTAGCCAGATACGCTTTATCCTGTATGGAGTCATAGATGGTTGGAGTCTATCCCAGCTGACATTGACACCTCCAGTCAATTGAGCATCACGAAATGACCAATTTTAAATGTCTTTGGATGAAGCCAAAGCCAATGCGAGCACAGGGAGGATGCATGCATGCTGGCCAGCAGGGTTAAATCCAAATCGAACCCTCTTGAAACAAATCGACGGCGCTAACTACTGCACCACTGTCCTGTCCAAACCTGAGGGCAATTAGACGTAATCAAGACTGTGGTCAACACAAGCAAACACAAAAATCAATGCACAAATCAGAGATGCACCCAAACAGTATCATTATCAATATCATTGGAAACCGATGCAACTCAAGTTGGGGTCAACCAATAATTTTCTGAGTTAGATGACCTTTGTAGGTTGTAAACATTATTCTGATGGTTTTCGATGACTAAATAATGTTGATCATTGCATAAATTTGATATCATGTGGACTTTAAACTGAAAATTCTGCTTTACTTGATTTAAGACGAAATTTGTGTTGAGATAACAGAATGAAAATGTCTTTATAACTCTTCATAACATAACTAGGATTTCAAGTCTCCTCCACTGTCTTTACACGCCTGGAGAATTTCAGACAGTAAAGAATGTAAATAACTCAGTGTACTTTGTTAATTGAACATGATTTTTTCAGAAGTTGTCACAATTCAAACACATTGATACATTTTCCTCCAGTTGAACATAAAAATCATTTAAGTGTAGAAGAAGAAAGCATAAAATCTAAAACAGCATTTGACTAAATGACAATTATTAATAGAACTGAAAATTAGAAAAGACTTTTATTGTAAGAATTGTAAATATATCCCAAGATTGCTCTATTTTAATAGATAAAACACTATGGAGGGAATGCTTAACCCCCCCAACCTGGATTAATTAATTAATATTACTTTGTGAAAATCAGTCTTCCCTTTGGCATAAAGAGTTCTTTCTATTTTATCTCAGAAAAATGCTCAAAATCAGATCTGATAATCGGCTGATTAACATTCGACCCCAAAGCTTGAGCCCTGGTTTTCAATTTCTTTGTAAAAACCAAGCAGCACAGGATGCGTTAAAAGAGGAAACCACTGCACAAATCACTGTAAACCAGTGAGCATTGGGTTGTTGGCATTTCATTTTATTAACACCCTTTTCATTTAGTCTGATATATGGACTCTGTAGGTTACACTTTTGGTAATGTGCCAATGACACACACTTCTCTTTAAGAGTGTTTTATTCAAAATCTCACTCAGTAACAGAGCTCAGATGCAAATAGAGTCGAACAGAAATGGAAAATCATCATTATGCACTCTGTAAACAGTGCCAGTGAAGGCTACTGCCAGAGTTTTTACATAAAGTCTTCTTCAGGGACGCCCTGCTCGCTGTCTGCCAAGTGTTTGCATAGTTGTGCTGAGGGCTTTTATTTTTATGCAAGATGCAGTCAACATTAACCAGCTGGTTGAATACCCATATGATGCCCGGATGATGAAACTAAACTGGCATGCCTGTCAGGCTCTAAACCCACCAGCTTCCACTGCACTGGTACTTACTGCCTTCGTATGCATCCGCAGGAATACAATCATTCTCCTGCTAAGAGAAGAAGATACAGCTGGAAAATGATCCCCGACTCAGTATTGTAATTAAAGCTAAGCCTCTGGGCTAATTGGGGATAAAAATGACCTTTGAGTAGATGTAGGACTGTTGAAGGTTCTCTGTGGATGAAGATGAGTGGTGAGCCTGGAATAGCAGCGGGCTATGACATAACACTGCTCATATCATCCCTCAGAGGGACGGGATCAGACTCCTACTCCTCAGCTAACTGTAGTGTTTAACAGAAAAGCTCAGGTTGTAGCAGAGTTACTGGATCAGAAAAAATGTGGCCTAAGTGCTTATTGATCGCAAAGGACCGCCAACCAAAATCCAAATGTCAAGAAAATTATTTTACAAGAGCTGAGGTCAAATGGAGAGGGAAGAAAAATGTATTTAACAAAGCTGGAATTATTTGAGCAGACATGCAGGCACCAGTATTTCTAGAAAATTGTTGCATTTCTTCTCAATACATTGTCATTAACTCTCTCAACCAGAAGCAGCTTCTGGGTGTTTTTTTGGTTTTTTTTGGCTCCTGTTGAATTTTTACTACAGTGGGCTCATTTTTCACTGCACTATAAAGTCCTGCACCTCTATGGAAGCACCACCACCATGAATAGAAGGAGAGAGGACTTAAATATGTCATTTGTGAGGTATTACACAGTTATAATGATATGAAGTCTTAAAAAAAAAACTTTCCTGAATTTTTGTCACATGACTGATGGTTGCAGCTGAGTCACTAATGGCCTCCAGGTTATGTCATGAAGAGCAGAATATTTTCTTTTTTCTTTTTTCAGAATCTTATTAGCATAAAGAGTTTACTTTGGCTGATTATAGAATTTGCAGAATAAAGTGATTTTGAGAAAATATCACAGTAGTAAAGTTTAGATTAGCTCATCGCAGATGTGAAATTCAAGGCAGATGAAATTCAAGACCATCACAAAGTTCAAAATCTGATAATCCTCTTAGTTTTTACAATTTCTGACTCTGATAAATGGTGTATTTTTTTCTTCTTCTTAAGACAGCATGCCTGTTAAACCACAAGTTACAATAACGACATGACAGGCCCAGGACCAGGACCTTTTGCTCCTGCCATCGATGTATTGATGCCAGAACATGGCGCTGGGCGATTGTTAATTATGTTGATTTGATTTAAACTGGCAATTATCACAAGCCGCGCTGATAACGAGCGTCGCTCACCTCTCACCTACATTCATGGCAGAAAAAGTGAGCAAACAGAAACTACAGAGGCATGAACTCCAGAAAGGAAAAACAACATAAGATTGTACTTTTTTTTGTAAAGCTGTCCTTCATCTCGTGTAATATTCCATTTCAGCACATTAGAGCGAAATCAGAAAGACATGAAGTAGTAGGTTGTAATGTTTTTGCGGTTGCTTCCATGAGAATGCCACGTTTTTAAATTCCTTCTATGTGACTAAATGGAACAAGATGATTGCACAGAAGGTAGCATGACAACGTCTTCACAAGTAATAAAGCAGAGAGGAAACAGAGATAATAGGAGGGAGCGCTGCCCTTTCGCATTCCGCCTTATCAGCCAATAATTGTTTTGCTGCAACCTCATTTAATGGCAGCTATTAAATCTATTACTCCCCTGTCACTCTCTTCCAGGTATGACATGCCAGGCACGTACATCTTACACCGAGGACGAGGTCTTGTGGGGCCACCGTTTCCTGCCGGTGATGTCCCTGGAGGAAGGCTTCTTCAGGGTGGACTACTCTCAGTTCCACAGCACCTTCGAGGTACCGACGCCGCCGTACAGCGTCAAAGAACACGAAGAGAAGAACTCACTGCCCTCGCCTTTATCCACTCCAACCCCCGCACTGACTGAGAGCCACGGCGCCCGACGCGACCGGGTGTTTTCCGTGGACTGCATCAACACCTCAGAGGAAAGGGGTCGCCACGGGGGCGCCGGGGGTCGACTGCCGAGCAAACTGCAGAGGATGAGCTCGTCGGGGAAAGAGGACCTGCAGAGGAAGGTTCTCCTGCTCACCTCCCAGCACTCGGAGAAGGCCTGCAGCACCGGAGACCTGCCGCTGAAGCTGCAGCGCCTCATCTCCTCGCCCGGACCCGAGACCGAGACTCGGCTGCAGCTCAAGTCCTTCAAGGTGGGCTTCGATCCGATGACCCAGTCCACCGGAAACCTGTACCAGCAGAGCCTGCCGCCCACGCCGTCCCCGGCCCCGGTCCCCATGCACAGCCCTCTTCTTTCAACTGGGAGGAGGCTGGAGGACACTCTGCCACCAAAGCTACGGAAGATGAACGCTGACCGCTGAGAAAACAACAGACTAAAACTTTCCTCCACACAGGAGGAAACCCACAAGGCCTCAGAGGTGAACTCTACCCTGGGAGGCAAAATCAGACGGTTCACTGACAATTTATGGATTCGTTTTTTTTCCTTGAGACTTCACTGGAATTACTGTGACTTTTGTGCTTCATAGCAGAGGCATTCATGCAGGCTTTGTTACACACAAAACGACAAGAAATCTTCATGCTTAATGCAAACTTGATCATCCTGCAAGAGGTGTGCATGTATACACTAAATCCATTGTTTAATGTATGCACAACTATAACTTAATAGCCAATCTTAGTTTTATCTAAATATAAATTATATTAAGATGATAATAAATGCTGTTTGATCTTTCTCTTTTCTTGTGTTTTTATTGTTGTCACAGCAGAAGTATTTAAGTTATGACCTGAGTGAGTGCACAGCTGTGAAATATCACTTAAATGTCAGATGACTCAAAAATTTAGCATCAAACCTCGGTAATGGCATCATTTCTAAACAATGAACAATCAAGTCTATATTGAAAATATAGGTCCCAAAGTAGAAATCCAATGCGACAAAAGTGAATAAATGTGTGATTACTGTAGTCCACCTGTGATGACCATTCACCCGTAATTGCATGAACATGGTTATAAAATGAGCTGAGACCATCAGAACCTTCTCAGTCTTGGATCTATAGACTGTGTCTGTCTGCATGCCTTCATCATGGCTCCACATTGAATTAAATTGCAGAAGGAACTAAACTAAAATGGGATTGTTAGACTTGACAAAGACGAAAAAGAATATAGTAAGATCTGTAATCAACAACAAAGCAGTTGAACAAAGCAGTAATCAGGAGGTATAGAAGGAGCTGTAGTACCACTAATCAGAGGTGCAGTGGTCGTTCGACTAAAATGATGACGCAGACAGTGAACTATATGCGCAATTTAGGCCAGAAATGGAAACAGGCAAGTGCTGTAGACTTGGTCAGGGGTTATAAATGAAAATTTGAATTTCTGTGACAGCTCAAACAGTGTACGGTACAGTACATGACCACTATGGACAGCATCCGAGAAATTAAACATGCTTAAGCACAAAATTACATAATTTAACTTCACTGTATAGCACGAAAAGAAGAATATCAGAGGCACATTCTTTGATCAGATGAGATCAAGATAAATGTTCAGCTCAGATGAGGTCCAGCATGTTTGGTGTGAACCTGACCAGGACGACCACAGTGAATTCGTAGTTCTGACAGTGAAGCACAGAACTGTGATCATATGGAGCCGCATGAGGTAAAAAGGTGTTGGGGAGATGGCTTTTATAGATGCACCATAAATGCTTGTGGATATAACAAAACACTGACTGACAAGATGACTCCGAGTCTGCAGAAGCTTGAAGAAGAGGAATATTCCAGCACGATATTGATCCCAAAGCACAAAATCACACAAGAGTTTCTAAAGAAAAACTGTGAAAACTGTGGCTTGGCCAAGTGTGTTGCCTGGCTTGAATCCAATAGAACACCTTCGGGGTGTTTTTAAGGGAATGGTAGAGCAACACAAGCCCTGCAGCAAAAGAGGAGCTGAAAAAAATAGTTTCTGAAGAACGGAAGAACATTTTTCTAGACATCTAGCATCCTCCATGCTCAGGCAGATTGGGTCTGTTGTCAAAAATAAAAAGGGGAACATAAGAAGAAGTGGACAAATAAAAGATTTGAATCTCAGTTATGAAACATATACAGATTTTTTGTGTTATTGAGTTCCTATTGGGGAGTGTGTGTTTTATTATAATAAATCTGAACTGTCATTTTTTAATTTTACATAATACCTACTGCTCAATTAAGAAGCAATGCAGTTACTGTAAGGTGACGCGGTGTCGAAGCATTTGACATTTAGGTGATAATGCACAGGGGTGTACTCACTTCTGTTGTGTACTGCAACAACTTTGCAAGATTTTATTAAGTAATCCAACAGTGTAATGCAATGTAGTTTTAATAGGCTGCTGTTAATGCCCTATTTTCCTCTCTTGGGTAACCGACACTGTGTAGGCACAATCCCATAACTCCTCGGTGCATAAAGTAGATATATACAAGAGAGACAGGGGATAGAGCGATATATACACCACTGCGAAGACAGAGATATAAACAGTGTTTATTGGAGGATGGAGGCATTGTTCCAGGAAGGAGGAGAATGTGGTCACTGAGGCATCATCGTCAACACACCCAAACAAAGCATTACGTAGCCTCGTCTCCAATTTATGTCGGTGGAGATGACCGCAGCATTCGCTTGTACGCGCACGCAGTAGATTTTATTTAATAATCGGTCAGGTTTTGCATCCAGTGAAAGAGGAGATTTACAGATCGGTAACAACAACGTGAAACTGAGACTAGAACACAAATGGTTGACACGTGTAGCTCCACGATAAACTTAAAGCTACAAGGTCAGCGAATCTCAAGTACACACAAGCCCCTAATGTGACCGCTACAGCAGCACAAAGACGAGGAAATCAATGAAGGAAGGAGACTTTTTTTTTCCCCCCCACTGCTTCGACTCGCAGAAACCTCCCCCTCCTCGCCACGAATCCACAGCTTCGATCACCCACTCAGTTTACACAGAGCTTAAACTGCTTTGAACACTCTATTCCTCTGATTCAGCTGCACACAGAGCTGTGTGTTTGTCCACTTACAGGCTTTGTCATGTTTTTTCATGCTGCTTCTGATTACACAGAAAAGGAGGAGAGAAAAAAAAAAAACAGATGCAGTATTTCACACAAAACAGTTAGTAATGAAAGTGAATGTGATGATTGAGCAGAAAGTCTAACAGGGATCGACTCATCGCTTAGAGTTAATCATTGTTTTCATTAAATGACCTACTGTTTCAGTAATTAATTAGGAATAGAAAGGTGTGATTTATGAATTGGGCTATTTCACGTTAAAATTAATTCTCACTGACAACCACCTATTGTGCTGTTATTACTAAAGTGGGGGAACAGCGGTTGTTCATTTTTTATTTGTTTTATTAAGAAAAACAACCTCAACGTCTTCTTTAAGAGTGATATAATGGTTCAATATGGTCAGTTTCTTCCACTTTGGAGCTGTAGCAGTTTGCGTTCTCAGAGTAAACTGACGGTAGTGAAAATAATTGTTGAAAACATGTGAAAACAGTCCTATAAAAACTAGAACACATTAGCATTAATGCATCTCCCACCGGATTCCCAGTTAATACACCTACAACAGCCTACAGTTTGCTACCTTGCAGCAAAAACAACATCCTTGGATACCAGAATTTGCAAAACAGCAAAGTCTCCTTGTTTAAAGTTCGCATTTTATGTCTCTTGTAGCAAATTAATGAAGCTCTCACATGTCAGTAAAATGTGCTTTTTAGTTTTCAGCTCAAAATACTGCAAAGACGGTTGATTTCAGCTTCATTATATAACTCCTGGTTTTAGTTCTGGTCTAAACGGTTTCCATTAGCTTTAAATGCAGCTGAGGTCCTTTTGTCTATGCCCCCTTCAGGAAGAAGACTCCTTCTGTATCTGCAGAACAGTTGACCTGAAGGACTGTGCAAATTTGTAAAATGGGTGATTATTGGTCATCCAGTTTCTACGCAGAGACTGGATACAATTCTGTCTGGTTTGTAAAGCTGGTAGGTTTTCTAGCTGAGTGGTTGCTCAGAGAATGGCAGTAGTAAATGTGTTCATATTTTCACAGCTTTTATTGTACAAGTTTCTAAAACTTGTTAAACACACTACGGCACCTTGATGACTGATGACATAAAGAGACGGTTCGATTTTGTGAAGAGTCGCGTTGAACAAGAGCTGAAGATCACCAACAACCACCTCTGAAGTGACCATTTTGTATCGACTAATTTCACAAACTTATATTGAGACATTCTCGAACAAACCATCTTCCTTTTTAGACTGACCATCCATACGTCTGGTGCAACCGTCAGCAGTATACGCACACAATAAGTAAGAGGCCTCAATCCACCTCTATGTTTCGTTTTGGATTACTTGAGAGTTATAAACAGCTGTTAAGATGTTGATGGCTGGAGCCACCACGCTGAGCTTCAAAACTGAAGCCTACCAGTAACGTCAAAGAGGGTGTATCCAACTTTATCTACAACCAATGAGCAGCACACGTCTCCAGACTGACATAACTGGCACACTGCAAATGAGAACTTGGTGCATGAGGGATTTAGAAAAGCTAGGACGAAAGCAAGAAATACACAGAAAATATGCCAAAGAATAAAGTGAAAAAACAATCAAGAATGAGGTCATACAGGAATAAATCAGTACTACGAAACAGTCACATGGGAGAGGAGGATTCAAAGCTCCTGGATAATAATAATGCAGCGTATGCGTTTTGCATACCGGTCCAGTGTTTTCTTGTTTGTTGCTGCGATCCTTTTCTCTTTAACCACACCCCAACTGGTCGAGGCAGATGTCTGCCCTCCCTGAGCCTGGTTCTGCTGGAGGTTTCTCCATCATAAAACGGGAGTTTCTCCTGTCCAGCTCTCTAATATGCTTGCTCACAGGGAATTTTTGTATTCATTGGGGTTTTTTCAGGTATAATTTTGTAGGGTCCTAATTAGTTGTAGAGTATTTACGAGGCGGACAGACATTTATTCCATGCTCTTTATAGCCATGCTTTTTATCACAACAGTAACAGTGCACATGCGCAACCCGGTTCACCCTGGTACAAAAAGCTATGTGCCTATAACATCACATGATTATTATATGGTGAATACACCACATTAGTAATCTAAATCAGTCTGGTCATTTACTCGAGTATATAATATTGTAGGGTTATAACCGTGATATTTAAATTAACCAGGTTAATTTTGTGTGATTAAAAACATTGTAGGTTCTTAATCTTCACATTTAAACTTGTTAAGTCAGTTCGTCACGCCAGTCGTATTTCTAGTTTGTAAAGCACTTTGTCTCAATAACTGTTTAAAATGTGCTGTATACATTTGTCAAAATGCTTGTTTTTAAAAGGTGCTACATCAA